CCGAAAAAAATAAAAAATGACCTTTCTTAAAGCCGAGGAAACATTCTCGCAGACGGCCAGACTTGATGGACAAACGCTTTCTTCCCACAATGCAAAAATTGCTTTCAAAGATAAGCACTTGAAATGATTGACGTGTAGTACAGCAAGACGATTTGCATCGAAGCTGCAGTGAAAACAAAAGCAAATGAAAATCGCCGGAAAAAACATCAAGATGGTCTGGAAAAGTAATGTAAAGTTACAGAAACCGTGTAAAGTTATCTGAAAAATCAAGTAAAACCGTCCGAACTATCGGTGTGAAGACCAAATTTTATTAAGATTTTTTCATAAAATTGGGAAATGCAGATCAGATATGGGAAGCTTCTCATGTTTTCTAACAGTGCACCAAGAAAATCACCAAAACTAAGATGCATTTTGATCCTGAGCCAAAAAAAACCCCGTAAGTTTAAAACACACACACACAAAACTTACTCGTCATTGAAACGCACTGATTCTTCACAAAGTAGTGAGAACAAAGACGAAGCTATTTCTTCTGTTGCTGGATATCCTCGCATTTGATTCGAAAGAAGCTCAAATCCGCCATTTTTAATAAAATCAATCCGTATCTCCACATCTGCTCGAAGCTGTAAAATATAAATAACTGATCAAATAAAGCTGTATATAAGCTAATGGTACTCATCTACATGAAGTGAGAACTTCGAAAATCTGGATTGCTTTGAAAAGTAAGGGTAAGACACGGTGTTCTCGGATATCCTCACCGCCACTTAAAAAAGATTGAAAGATAACAGACGGGCAAAGCAAACTAATAAACGATGCCTTCGTAATGTAGAACAAACAATTCATACAGGCAGTGAGGAAACGGCAGAATCCAACTGAGAATTCGCATGGAGTTACGAAGAGTCAAATCGGAACAAAAAAGAATTAGCCAGCGCACCAGCTGCGGGTGCGGAGATACGTTTTTTGCATAGTTCCCCGCAGGTTTTTATCGCTAACGGCACCGGTTTTTTCTGCAGATGCTTCCAGTTAAACGAATTGAGACTGGTTGCCAGGACTGTCAAGGAACATCCCTTCAAAATATCAGTTTTTTAGCTTTGCTGCTTCCCGAGTTAGTAACTTACTCGCAAAAAACTTTCACGGGACTGTATGTGGGGGCCACGCATACCCGAGGGCTGGGCTTGAACTCATTAAGGTCTACGTCGACGGGGAACTTGCCCTTAAAATTTTAGTTCTTTACCTTTTCTAACTTCCAAGTATTTGATGTTTGTGATATCCTGGAAAAAATTATAGCATCTGAATAAAATTTTAAATAAGAAAGTACCAAAATT